TTTGAAGTTGTAGCAGCAGCTTATGAATATTTACACACCACCCTCAAAAAGCCCAAGTTTTCTTCCTAAAGGACATGAAAGACTGCTAAGCAGTTGCATCTTCGGGGCAAATAGCTATCCACAGAACATTGTTAACAGCAGACTGAAACACACTCACATTCACACTCCAGGGGGACAACATTTTAACTTGCAGAACCAATTCCATCAGTAAGACACACGAGACAGATGATTCTCACATGCTAAATCTTTATTGTGCGAATGTTGTTCAGAGCATTTATTACCTTTCATAGACACATATCCCCATAAAAATTGACATTAACAGTGGCTAGATTGATGGGCAACAAATCTATTTGCTAGTGATTAGCATGCATGCGGTATCTCTTGTGGTGCAAAAATCTTAGCCAGGAGGCCAGCCCAACTGACGACCACCCAGAATATGGAGGTGTACATGATAGACAGACTGCCCACCCTCAGGCCCTTCATTCAAAACCATCCGGAATCCATTGGTCAGGCCCAGGTTAGCAGCACACTTCTTGCCAACAATCATTAAATGCCCAAGAAGCTGGAGGAGAAAAAAAAAAAAACAAAACACACAAAAAAGGGGGAGGGCAAGAAGGGAAGGAATGAGAGCAGAGAACCATTCAGAGAGGTCAGTTAGCCAATTCTAAGAAATTCAGCCACGGCTCTTCAAACTGCTGTCAGCCAACTGATATTTTCCAAGCAAAGCTATAAAGACTGACTAAGCATAATATAGAGGGGTGCAAAAAAGAGCTACGGATAACAGACTACAGAAGTAATGCAGAAGCTAGATTTGTCTCATGGTTAAAGCCCCCTTTTACTTCTTCAGGCAACATAAGTAGTTCAGGTGGAAAAACTTCTGGTTCAGGTGAAAAAAAAACTTCTTACCTTGTAAAGGTTTACAAAAATCTCTGTACTTAGTGTATATAGCTAAAGATGAAGTATTCAGGACCCCTCTGTTTAATCTCCCTTTACTGACCTCTCATCTGCCAAAAAACCCAAGCCCTGTTCTCCATATTTAAGTACTACTTACTGTAAACAGTAGAAACAGACATCAGACTATACTCTAAAACAACAATGTATTTTGCACTACAAATCCATACCCAGGGATTTTTTTGCTTTAAATCAGTACTTTTACTGGACAATCTTACTTCCATTACAATTCTAAGCCAGAAGCAAAGGAATATCTAGTGTTTTATATATATATATACATGTATATATATATGTATAATTATAACGTGAGAAAACTACTTTACCTCTTTGTAATGCCAAGAGGAAAAGTGGGAGAACCTACTAAATTCTGAAATATTTAGAGGTACAGTTTGGTGTGCAGAAAGCTTCAACAGTACTTACAGATTCATCAGAATCTTCTGCTTCAGATAACCTGACAATTGGCTTCTTAGGAATCACGAGGAAATGCGTTGGAGCTTGGGGTGAGATATCATGGAACGCAAGGCACTAGAGGAAGAACACACAGGTGAAAAACAATTTACTTCAGAGAAAGGTAAGAGTTTAAGCACATCAGCACGCCCCACTGAAAACACACTTACACAGATTATCAGATACCCTAAACGTTAAGTAGAGACCTGGGTTTTTCTAGTGACACACTACTCAAATTTCTCAGATTTCTACACACGAAATACCTGCTTACATGAATAGCAAACAATGATTTTTTAACGTGCTACTTAAAAGCTGTTGTCTTCTCAACAAGTTAACAAGCCATTAACTTAGTGACTTGTCATCTCCACGTAACAACTAACAAGAGCTGATGGGATACATATCTATAAAAAATGTACATTATAGCTTATTTCCCTCTCTGATTTCACTCTGTTCAGTAAAATAAATTGCAAACAGTTGCTAACCATATTCCATGAACGTCTGAATATTGCCTTGGTCAGAGATGACAAGGCAGTTATGCAGTCGAAGCCATATCACATTTCTGTTCTCAGTAACACCACGCATTTCAGAGAAAGACTATTTCAAAACACTGTATTAAGGGTGGACCTACTTCAAACATTCCCAAATTGAGGAAAACATATCCCTTATGGAACATCAACAACTGTGCGTAGTAAGTAGTTCATTTCCAACGAAGTTTGTTTAAGTATCGACATTAATTCAGACACTGCACGCAACACCTCATTAAACCACATTAAATAAATCTCAATGCAAACATTTACCTCCAAAAGCAGGATTCAGCGTGCAACATAATCAAAACAAAGAAACAGATGTTTACAATAAATTAGGAAGTTCCAATAGGTGGAGAAAGGGAAAGGGAGCTATGGCTGTTGAGGCAAATAGAGGCAGTAGAATCCAGTCCCAGTGCTGCAGCCACCACCATCTACAGATGCCCACACTGCGCATGCACTCCGCTGCTTGCTGAGAGGGCATCTCTGACTTACCAACCACACCTCACAGCAAAACTTGCAGTAGGTACTGATTGAGTTGGAATACATGCTTGATGTTCTTCAAAATGTGCACCTTCTAGATGCTTTCATTTATCTGTGAATCAGTACCAAATTTCCTGTGCAATTCCAACTTTACTGATTTTTCAATCCTACTGAGACAAACAGTGTTAAACTGATGCTTTACAGAGGCCACTGCGTTACCTTGTCTTCCAACTGGTCCTATTTTAAAATACCACTAAGGAAAAGTCTGGTTTTAAACCTCTCTTGGTGAGCTGCTTTTTTTTCTCCTGAACAGAGGAGCATGGTAAAAAAGGAACTGGTAAGTAAATCTATTGTGCAAGTAATTACACATAGATCTTACTTCGGATTTAGCATCTCCTAAGCAATTTTTCTGTTCCAAGTGGTGCCACAGAGAGAATGCAAACGATGAACTGACTCAGGTAGTTTAATGAGCTGAACACCAGCAGCAAATAATTTGTTGTGGGGCAGACAGCAGAGGCAGTAGCTAACAAAGCAGCTGCAGAAGGCCTGACTGCACAGTCAATCAATTCTCACCTCGCTGAATTGTTTTTATTTTAGATGTGACTAAATCAATGCCGATAAGGCTTTATTCCAGAGAGACTTTGCACTTTTGATACATTTTTCTCTGCCTGCCGATTAATGATTACAAGTCTCCCTTTAATCAATACCCTCTCCTTGCAACCTTGAAACCCTTCGATCGATATTTTCTCCCTGGAACCCTGAAGGAAGGTTTCAGTACAGTTAACGAAGCGAATTCAAATTCAAATTCTCCACGAGCGCCTAACGGCACCCGGCGCCTAACGGCTGCCCCCCCAGGCCGCCCCTCCGCCACAGGCCGCGCCTCCGGCCTAACCCAGCCGCGGCCGGCCCGGCCCCGGCCCCGGCCCCGGCACGGAGCGGCACCTGCTCGTCCTCGTAGATGATGTTGGCGGGGATCTCCTTGCGGATGATCTTCCCGAAGATGGTGTCGCCGCCGGGCCGCGCCGCCTGCGCCTTGCTGATCTCGTCGGACATGGCGGCACCGCCTGCCCGCTGCCCGCCCGGACCGACCCGACCCGACGCGCCTCAGCCCCGCCGCCACGCCCCCCGCGGCGCTCATTGGCCCGCTGTCACAGCGCCGCCGCCGATCCCGGCTCCTGATTGGTAGGCTCGCTTGTCTTTTAGGGGTCGGGCACGCCCCTCGCCCCGCCGGGCTGCGGGAGCGTGAGCGCCATGCGGCGCGGAGGGATCCGGGAGGGGGTGCGGCCGGGGGGAGGGTGCTGCGGCCCTGGGGGGCGCTGTGGCCGTCTTCGTGCGCGCCATCAGCGGCAATGCTGACTCGGCATTGGGAGGTTATTGTGTTAGTGATAATCAATAAATTAGATTAGACAAGTGAGAAACTAAAAGCAAACTAAACCCACCTTCCCCTGTACTGCTCCAGCACGGGTCCCCCTCGGCTGGGGGCAGCTCCCCCCAGACCCCCTGCTCCTGCGGGGGCTCCTCTCCACGGGCTGCAGCTCCGGCCCGGGGCCTGCTCCTGCGGGGGCTCTCCATGGGCCGCAGCCTCCTCCAGGCCACATCCACCTGCTCCAGCGGGGGCTCCTCCACCCATGGGGGGGCTGCAGCGTGGAGATCTGCTCCATGGGGGACCCATGGGCTGCAGGGGGACAGCCTGCTCCACCAGGGGCCTCTCCCTGCACAGCCCGCAGGGGAACTGCTGCTGCCTGCCTGCAGCACCTCCTGCCCTCCTGCGGCACTCACCTGGGGGGCTGCAGGGCTGCTTCTCTCACGCTTTCACAATCCTCTCTCCCAGCTGCTGTGGTGCAGCAGTTCTTTTCCCTTTCTTAAATATGCTCTCAGAAAGGCGCAAACAACATCGCTCCCTGGCTCAGCTCTGGCCAGCGGTGGGTCCCTTTTGGAGCCATCTGGAGCTGGCTCTGCTCTGACATGGGGCAGCTGCTGGGCTCTGCTCAGAGGCCAGCCCTGCAGGTCTCACCACGAACACCCAGCACACATCACTGGCTGAAGCCCTCTGGGGTATCTGTGATGCACCCATCAAGCCGGGAGGTGGCTGAGTGGGACAGGGCCGTCAGGGAGCCATGGCAGTGCCAGAACCTGAACCTGGTGCAGCCTGACCAGAACCAGGCCGGACAGGGCTGGGGGGGGCTGGAGCTGGTTTTAAGAGCTTTTTTTTTTTTTTTTTTTTTTGAGTTTTCAGAGCTTTACTGCTGCGCACAAGAGCTGGTGCCAGGTGTTAGGACGGGACATTTCCCCTCGCGATGCAGGGGGCGGGCACCTCCCCGCAGCCTCCCGCTCCCGGTCCCGCCCCGGCCCCGCGCCCCTTCCGCCTCCGCCCCGCGGCCGCAGAGCCGGGCGGCGCCATGGCGAGCCGCGGCCGGGTGAGCGCGGCGCGCATGCGCGGCGGGGAACCGGGCACCGGGCGCTGGGGACGAGTGCGGGGTCGGAGGGGCGTTAAAAGGCGTTAACGTGGCAGATCGTGGCGCAGGGGGGAAAATGGGGGCGGAGGGGGTCAGAGCCTCTCACAGGGGTCTCCCGGGGGAATGGGAGCCCCTCGGTACCGCTCTGCAGCCTGGTGCCGGGTGTTGGGGTGGGGCTGTGGGGTGAGGAAGGGTGAACCCATCGCTGCCCCCAGGCTGCCTGAGGTGACCCTGGCGGGACTCGGTGTGGTGAGGAACTGACCAGGTGGAGAGAAATGTTCATCCAAGAATCCGAAATAGTCATAAAATGCGTCCTCTGGTGTCACCGCGTTTGACTCAAAGCTGTTTGCGATGGCAATCGTGTTATTTGCAAAGGTAGTGGAAGAATGTGGAGCTGATACAGTAAAAGATCTCTGTCCAAATAGCATAGTCAAATCGCCTAAAATGCATCAACAGATGAAGAAACTTCCTCGCAGAATCTCCACAGCATTGGTTTATTTCCCATGATTTCAGCCACCTAGGGAATGTTTTTTGTTGGCTGTGAATTTTTAAGGGCATGGAAGTGAAAAGGAGTCAGCAGAGTCCACGTTCTCTGGTCTCATATGTACTGTATCCTCGACAACAGGGTACTTACTCAGGAATTATAAAGTGCTCCACTCCATGAGGTGAAGCGAGGTTTGAACTTGCTGGGTTTTGTAAGGTGTCCCTTAATAGCAATAAATTTATGGAAGCACTGCTAAACGGTTTGAAGGTTCTTACTGTTTCATAGCTTTTCTCTCATCTCCTCTGTCTTTTTCTGTTCCTGTGTCTCTGGACGAATTACCTTAAAATGTACCCAAGTGAACAGCTGAGCAGAGGGATGAGAGCTTAGATTAAAAATCTAAAAATGTCTTGACATCTGGTGGAAGTAAAAGCATTCAGAGATGCTTGCTGCTTCTTTCTCTGTCACTGAAAGACTGAAAGAAGAGACAGCACTTTTTCCTGGGCCCTGCTAGGATGTATTTATTGGCTGCTGTTCCACCATGGGCCTTTAACCTCCAGAGGGTAGGCTTGCTTACAGATACGAAGCACAATGATGTAAGAGAGGCATTTCTCAGCTATAGACCTGTGTTTCCTCTGTTTCCTTCAGAGAAATTTGTGGAGTACTGATTGTGAGAGAACAGTTCAAGTTCATTGTGAGATACTGAGAATTGTGCCTTCTAGTGGTGCCTCAGCGTAAGAGAAGTGCTAGAAGTAGCTTTAAAAGGTGTCACCTTAAAATGGGCTTTTCTTTTGGTACTTGTCACAGGTGGACACAAGGTCAGGAGGTTCAGAGGGTTTCTGTAATTCATGACAATCTGTGTGAATAAACAGCCCAAATTATATGCCTGTGAGCAGTGATTATCAATATTTTTGCTTTACATCCATAGTGAGATCTGTCTTCTCTACATTGTAAATCCTAGTCTTTCAAGTGGTTGTTTTTAATGATTTTTTGAATTTACTGATCTGACAGTTACATTTAGAGAAATACTTCATTTTTGGGGGTTTTGCGCCATTACCTGTAGAAGGTTATAACCATGTATTACAGGGAGAAATTAAAAATACTTTTTCTAATTAATATACCATTTTGAGATCCTTTGAAAGTTCACTTTCTTTACGATGGCTTTTAAGTGTGAGAATACTTTATCTCTCTCTTTTTTTTTTTTTTTTTAATTGGAGAATATCCAGTAATGTAACCATGAAAGTCGTTGCACAGGTATTCTTGTTCTGCTGTTTGTATTTGATATTGGCACAATCAATATGTTTGCAAGAAAATATTTTCAGTATTATATCCCCACCATGCCAAATGATTACTTAGAAGTGTATTGCTAGTACTCTCTAGCATCTCAGATTGATTTGTTGCATCTAGAACCATCTAGGAATTTTAATTCCTTACATCTGCTTTGGCTGCAAGTTGTTTGATCAGGAGTTGAAGTCAAGTGTTTCAGATACTGATTTCATACCAGATGTTGTACTAAAAGGCAGCAATGTGAAAGCCACAACACTGTTAATTGCAACATGCTTGTTTTAACTAAGAATCTTGCTGGCAAACAAGCTAATCTTATTGATGTTGTATTGACAGGTTTTGAAGCTTTTTAAATTGCTACACAGAACCCGGCAAGAAGTTTTTAAAAATGATACCAGAGCCCTCGAAGGTAAGATTGATTTTTGTGTGGTGGATGCTTACCTACCTTTCTGTGGAACTTCTTCTCTGCATGTTATATGCCTGAGTAAGATAGATGCTTACAGTCATTGCCGTGTCTGCGGAGACTTGATAGGGCTTCTTTGTTAATGTTACAGGGATGCTGCTGCACCTGTGCTCTTTTTACTAGGAGTGTAAAAGTGATGAAGGGACCTGATAATACTCCCTTTTCCAGAGGAGGTGATAATGCATAGTATTGACTCAAGCCAATTCTGCAGCTCCTGTTTGTGTTTAGCTGTGCTAATTCTTCTCTCAAGACCAGTGAGTATGTGATGCAAGAGCCAAAAATGCGAGGGAAGGAGATGGGAGTACTTCTTTTGTTCTCAGTATTGGCCTATGCCTATTTTAAGCAACTGTAATTTCAGTAGTAATCTTCCTGTCTCATCCAAACAGTCTTTTCAAGAGAAATAGCAACTGTATTCTGTTCTTTCTCTGTATTCTTTTTCCCATTTTTGGAAATTTGGGGATTTTTTTTTCCATTTCTTGTTTGTTGTGATAGCATACAGAGAAGACAAGCAATATGAAGCCATGAATGTTCTTTATTTCTATTGACTTGTTAACATAAACAATGCTGCTGTTGTGAGGGAGGGTATATCAATGCCATTTTATGAAAAATAGTTGGAGAGGGGAGAATTTATGTTCAGATGTTTTCATTCTTTTGTGAAATGTGTATGTACATATTTTGTAAGAGAGAAGAAGCTTAAGGAGTAGGCAAAACAACATACAAAGAGAAAACTCTTAATTATCTTTCGTTAAATGATTCCTTTCCACATTTTATAGACAATTATTGGGGAAACCTGTTTGTGTCCATAAACAGACATCCTTTAAATTGAAATAAAAAATTGACATTTAGAGTCAAGCTTCTTAAGGAAATCATCTCTTTTTATTGAACTGTGGTGGTCTTCTGGGATTTTTTTTTTAGCTTTTTTTCCCTCTTTCCTTCTCTTCAGTCCAACCAGAGCACGTTTAAGTGCTGGATTTTATCCTCTTTATGTATGGCTGCCTTCAGGGGATAAATACTGCTTCTACAGTAACTGACATTTTAGTAATGGCCTCTGTATGTCAGTTCTTTTTAAAGCTCATAATGCTAGATGAGCAATCAAAGCACTGTATTTCACTGCTGCATCAGTCAACTCAAAATATGACATCACCTGAAGTCCATGGAAATCTTGTATTAAGACTTTGGACTGAGTGCACCAGGAAGGAAATGATACCTTTCTTTTAAGGGAAAGGAGTAGGTAGCCAAAGGGAAGTAGACATAAATCAGGTTAACAACCCCAAGGCAAATATAATGGTTGTAGGATTGTGAGCTTTGACAGTGACAAATACACGATTATGACTTTGTTCATGCTTTATTTACTTTGCTTATTTTATTTAGCTGCAAGACAAAAGATAAATGAAGAATTCAAAAACAACCAAAATGAGACATCTGAAGAGAAAATAAATGAGGTATTCATTTGTTTGCATGGTTTTTGTTTGTTTGTTTGTTTGTTTTTCCAGTTTGAATAAAAATACCGATAAAAGGGGAGCCTTTACTTAAAAGATCTCTAAATCAATACAAATGCTTACTGAGTCATTACAAAAGCCAGGTGAGTCAGAAAAGGCTTTTCCACAGATCTTTTTTATATATAGTATATCATAGAATTTCGCACATACAACAATATATAGAGAGAAGGCTTCTTCTGGTATTTCAATATGCTTATTTTGAAACTTAGAACAATATTAGTGTAGTGTTTTATGTTGCTATTTTTCATGAAAATATTTGCTTTCCTTATAATACACCTGAGCTTTGTTCACTTAAGTTTACCTGTTTAGTTTGTTGTGCAGAGAAGCACAGAAAGAGAGAGAAGGTTTAAATAATCTGCACAGTTATTGGCAGAGACAAGAAGTTATTTGATCCCTGATTTGATCCCTCATTTGATCACAAATGAGGTGGCTTCTTTTGTAGGAGGTAGAGAACAGGCAAATGGTCACAACTATTGTAACTCAGAGAGTTACATTTATACTATTGGGCCTTATTGGCTGTTTTTGTTCTTGCTTCTTTCCTCATGGTGCATTGAAAGGAATAGAGCATTGCATTACCTTTGTTCAGTCATTTTAACACATTTTACTGAGTAATTCTTTTAAATTTCACTGAGGTGTGAAATGAAACTTCTCTATTAGTTATTTCTAGTTATTACTATCTATTTGGAAGAATAATTTAGACATTTTCAGTAAGCCTTGTAAGGGGCTACATCTCCAGTTTCACTGGGTGCTAGTGTGTAGCTCTAACGCAGATAATAATGTGTTGTAAGAATGTGCTTCCTTCTGTCCCTTGCAGAAATAAGTCTAAACCTTTCAAACTTTATAGCATTTCTGCTTGTTGTCAGGCCCTAGAATTAATATTTCTGTGTTTATGTTCCAGGTACCTGCTTTGTTAAATTGTATGTTCTGTGTGTGATAGGTGTACAGAAAAAATACTTCCTGTAGTTTTTAAATCTATATTTGTTAGGAGTGGCAACCAACAAAATACATATGTAACTTCTTAAATCTGGCTTAGTTGATACATTGATTTAAAGAAGTCAGTGGAAGAAATTCTTGACTTTCATCAGAACTGCAGTATCCTAGAACACCATAGAAGCTGGGTGTTACACATATACTGTAGTGACTTGAATGCAGAAGAACCGAATCAAATGACCTACAAGACTTTTAAGAATCTGGAAAATTACTTTAATAAACACCAGGGGAATTACTGTTCAACTAACAAAAGTAAATGATGAGCAACCACTGTTCATTACTTTTCCAGAGTTGAAAACTGCAATATCTTCTAATATGACATCATATATAAAAGTATGTAGTGACATAAGGAGGTAGGAGTTACTGTCTGTGATAGGAGAATGTGAGATGCAGCTGCATCTACAGCAGTATTTTAGTTCAGAACAGGAGTGCACATTTAAAGTTACCGTGGTTGTCTCCACTTACTGTGATTTGGCTTCTTTTGGGAAGCAGTCTCAGAGTGCAGGAGAATTCCTTTAAGATGAAGCTGAAAGGGAAGGTGTGCTTCAAGAGCATGCAGTCTGGCTGCTAATCCTCATTGCAAAGGGGGAACCAGAGATACCTAGTCCAAACCCTTTAAAAGGGAGAGGGTGCATAGAAATTTTGTGCAGATGCCAAGTCCTCAGCTCCTACTTGTACTTTGCAAAAATCCTCTCCTGTTGGTACGCGCTACTTCCTAGTGTAGGCATGTCTCCCAGAGCGACTCACTTGTGCTAATTCATTTATTTCTGACGAAGGTATCGTGCAAACAAGTACTACAGTTCTGGTAATTGCTCAGCAAAATTGGCAAGGATTACTCTGTTTATCCTTTTGATGAGGGAAGGAATTCTGGGCTTTTTGCCAAATATTAATGCCTTTGCTAATCATGGTCCTCTATGTTTTTTTCGTTAACCCTCAGTGTTCTTGTTACATTTTGCCCCTATGTTTGTGTCCTTATTTCAAGAGCAGGAATGTTAAAAGAGACAGCTTGTGCTTTCGTTAAAGGGTACTTGAATTATGCAATTGAGGCATTCACTGATACCTGCGATCATTGGAAAAGAGCTACTTTTTGTGGTAATTGCATTATATTTTATTCCTTTGCAGTTTTAATTGGGTGTATAGATTTTATACTGTTGTATGCTACTGAGCTCGTTTCCTTCCTCTCATGCTGTAGCCTGCATGTCAGCTCATTGGTACTCCATGACCTCCAAAGTGAAAGCTCTGTATAGATAGTAGGTAGCTTACTGAATAATAGAACTGACCGACTTGGGTATTTGAATAGCTCTCCAGTGTAGAAAATACCTTCAGGAATAATTATGTATTGTTTAAATTACTCTTTTATTTTTTCCTTTACTAGCTTCTGAAAATAGCTTCAGATGTTGAAGTGATCCTCAGAACTTCTGTTATTCAGGCAGTTCACACAGATTCCGACAAAATATGTGAGTAATGCTGCTTGTTTAAAGATGTTTAAAAATGTTGTAGTTTGCTTAGTTTTCAAGTTTTATATGCATTTATTAGAGGGATAGAGAGGGCAGAAGTCTGCCTCTTGTTCGTTTCTCTGCCTATACGGTATAGTACAGTATAATTTAACCAATAGAAGTTTCAAAGATATGCATTTTCTACACAGTTGCTTTTTGGTTTTGTTTGTTGTTGTTTTGTTTTGTTTTGTAATATGGAAGCTGGTAGAAGAGATGCACAAACTGTCTTTAATGCCCTCGTGGAGAAAAGTAAGTTTTAGTTGGTACCTTAACCATTAGGAGCGACCGCAATTAGTTAGCAAGTCAAGTTGCATGTACTGGCTAATTGGTCAGTGTCTGTCTGAAGGAATTAACCACAATTTCTCTAGGTTTTTGCTCTGCCAAATACGTAGAAGCTGTGTGAGAAAAATTAACAAATGCAGTGTGTATGCTGCCTATAGAATAGCTTTTTTGTAGAGGATTGTTTTCTATCCAAAACCTGTTTTCTGACAACGTAAGTTTCAGATTCTTCATTGGAATATGCCACACAATGATGCCCTTGATGGAAAGGCCTATCCAGTTCTGAAATATTGACTCCTGATTTGGAAGTCCTCTTATCACGTAGGCAGACAGAAGAGAAATAGTAGGTTCAGTTTACACCAAACAGCTGTGTGGTGGATTATAGGAGAAGTCTTCAGGTGTATGCATCATTTCCTTTTTCTTCTGTTTAGGAGGAAATTCTTTACTCAGAGAGTGGTGAGGCACAGTCTGAGGTTGCCCTGAGAGATTGTGGATGCCCCATCCCTGGAGGTGATTAAGACCAGGTTAGATGAGGCCCTGAGCAACCTGATCTAGTGGGAGGTGTCCCTGTCTATGGCAGTGGAGTTGGAATTGGATGATCTTTGAGGTCCCTTCCAACCCAAGCCATTCTATAAGTTAGTGGTGTTTGTACATCTTTGTGATTATTTTCAGGTTTATGTTTGGTAAAGTATTTAACACTAGAATAACTGTAATGATGAAGGGCAAAAATATGTCTAGACTGTGTTGGGAATGATTCTACAATGATCCTGGGCAGATGGCAGTAGAAGAGTAGGAACAAAGCAAGTGCATTTCATATCTTCCAGGTGTTTACAGCTGACAGCACCTCCAGAGCCAGGGATGGTTTCTGTTTTAGTTATCCTCAGGGAATTTCTTTATCGTGGACTTGCTTCCATCATCCCATGCAAATTTCTTGCATCTAGATGTTTTTATCAGAGAATTTACTATGGTTTGCATGGAGAATTGTTTACTGTAGTGCGTTTTGAGCGAAGTCCTGCTTATGAATCACTATCCATTTTCACCAAGCTTCTCATGGGTTTTTAAGCCCCTTGTTGCCTTTGGTTTATTTTCGTCATCTATGGAACAGCTTCTCTGTGAAAAAACAACTGAATGCTTGCGATCATTCTGTTACTCTTCTTTGCATTCTTTCCAGTTCTCCTGCATGTGTTCAGGTGAGGAGGGCATCAGAGCTAACTGCAGTCATCAGGCTATGGGAAAACCTGGCATATTTCATTTTTGGCTGTCACGTGCATTCATTTTAATTTCTAATGGTACAAGTAGAGTTTACATTTTAATAACACATCACACATGCTACATGTTCTGATTCTTTTGATGTACTGAGTGCATAGCATATGTTCAAAACTTAGGTTTTTAAAGGAAGTGGGCATGGGAAGAGCGTTGATTGTCGTCTCTTTTGACCTTAGCAGAGCTTTCAGCACTGTCCCCTGTAACATCATAAGAATACAGTAATAGAATTGCCCCTGCCTGATTTTACAGACTGCTTGGAGAAAAGGTGATGACAAAGTTTTCATGGTAGATGGAGGTCTTTCAGAGTCTAGTACTAGCCAAGAAAACTTTGTCATCTAGCAAGAAATGCTACAGGGTGTATTTGACCTTATGAACACAAAGGATGTCATTATGCAGTTACTTGCCTATTAATTTTTTCTCTGTATGTTTTGGATAGGTCTAAGCTCTGCTTCTTGCTATGCTTGATATTTCTGTAATAAGAATAAAATAGTAATTTCAAAACAGCCAACACAGTTTGAGAGCCGTGTGTTTTTTGTGTGTTTGGAATATATATATTGAAGTGAGAAATATTTAATCTTGACAGGTAGTGAGTCATAAGTAAAAGATCAGGAATGCTAGAAAAGTGCAGAGCATTATGTTAAAAGTTCCCAGAATAAGAATGAACGCTATTAGAAATGTCAAGAGTGGGTAGATATTCCTAGTTGTACAATTTAATTATGCAGAGAGTATTCAGTGAAGCTGGAATTTACGTTTACACCTAATACAAAAAAATCATTTTTAATTTTACACAGTAATTCATAAAGGTCATGGCAATGAAAAAATATCCTTGTGGCCAGAAGCATGTTATTAGTCAAAATACAAAAAAGCAGAAATGAAACTAGATGTACAGTTTGATATTGTAGTAGAAAGAGTAAAAGCAAATTTCCTTCCAGAGAGAATATACAGACATTTATACCGCGGTAAATTGATCAGTAACAAAACATTAGTTCCTAAGTACCACTGTTTGAGCAGGTTTCTAGTGTATTTGTGTCTTTCCTAAGAATCCAGCTTTGATTAGTCAGATAGGACTGTGATAGAGGCAATTCTAGTATAGCTTTTACTATAGTATTAATGTCACTGGTAGTAGAGAGTGTGCCATTAGAAATTTCCTGAAACCATATCCAAAATTTTAAGGGAGTTTAAGTGATTGTCACCACAGTTTGGTAACAGTTTATGCTGAGTAGCATGATTAGTGGGGTATGTGCCTATACTGAGTGTGGTTTCCATTGCTGCTCCATTTTTTAGAGTATGTCGTACTGCTGTTTCCATCTTTGCCTCTTTGTAAAGAAGAAATGTCTAAGATTAAAAAAAGGAAAAAGTTGGAAGTGGGACTTTAACTGTCAGTTCTGTCCATGGATAGCTGTCTAGAGGGCTTCTTAGTTTTATTTTTCCTTTCTGACATTGCAAGCAGAGTTTTGTCTGTAAAAACAGTGCTTAGAACACTTGCATCTTTAAGGAAGTGGTATCTTTTGGCTTATTAACTGTGCTGTCTTTTAACTTAAAGCAAGCATGTACATGATGAAAATAATCACCTTCTTTTTACTCCCCTTTGCTTTTTGATACCTGCAAGCCAATTTACAGAGGGAAGTGCCTCTGTAGGTGTATGAGTCCACTTAAGTAGTAAATTGAACAGGTATTCATTTCCAATACACCTTTGATTTAAAAAGCTCTAGTAGAGTAAGGTCAATCTTCTGATCCTTAATCATTTGGACTGTATAAACTTAGTAATAATTAATTACTGATTATTTTTCTTGCTTCATGAAAAAAAAAAGGGGGGGGGGGAGGGTGTTTGAAGTCATTTGTTCCGTCACATGAAAGAAGAGAGGGGAACAAGAAACTAGACAAAGTATGTTTCAGAAGCCTATTGCTGCCGTTTGTTTCCTTAACTGAGTTTATAATCTTTTGACTCTAACTTTTTGTATTTGAGCTGACAATATATGATTTAGTTACATTTGCTGTTTTTCTTTCTCTGCAATCCTACATTTCTGGTCTTAGACAGTGAGAACAAATATTGATTGGTAATGGGAACATTTTCCCTAATCAAATGATACCATTGTGTGCTGTCATAACTTTAGAAACAGTGCACAGGGCAATGTTACACTTTCCAAAAAGAATTTGGGACTGCAGTGTGTAGTCAAGTTTCTATTTACTGGTAAATTAGGTTGAGCTTTCCTCTCTAGAGATAAGACATTTTCATTTAAGAGCTTGTTAGTCCCATTAGACAACTTTTCTTTTTTTTTTTTTTTTTTTTCCCAAATGATCCAGTATGAGTTATGTTACCCAGCATGTTCAATTCTATTCTTTTCATTTTAATTTCTAATGGTACAAGTAGAGTTTACATTTTAATAACACGTCACACATGCTACATGTTCTGATTCTTTTGATGTGCAGAGTGCATAGCATATGTTCAAAACTTAGCTTATTTAAGGAAGGTTTAAAAGTTCTTTCAGTCACTATCTGTTTGTACTTAGTGTTTTTCAGTGCTTCACATCAAATTCTGTCTTCTTTAATTTCTGTTATCTGTTCCAGCTGTGATATGACTTGACATAAGATTAATTATCAGTCTTTTCTCTGTAAGAGAAACAGAATTGCAAGTTTATTTCAAGGTCTTAGAAAGTTATTTAGTGGATTGCTGACAGTCCACAAAGGCAAAAAGAACATAACCTTAAGGAAATCAATTTTCTTTCTTACAGTACATGGGGTATCTGTACTTGGGACAGAATGTTTGTCATTGCACACGTGCACACACGTACGTTTGTACAGGTTTGCTATATGCTTAGCTGATGTCTGACTTAGTCAAAGTACAGCATTATGATTTATTTGTGCTTTAGTTTGTACTGCTTGAGCAAATCTGACACAACACAGCTCTTTCCCCTCAGGAAGCAAGGACGGGCTGATTTCTAAGAGCTAAAAGGCAAGAACTGATCAGAAACAGGTTAAAGTGATGTGTATTTAGACAAACACTGACCTCATGCAGTTCTGTGAGGATATAGCAGGCATAATTGTCATTTGATGCTTTCTTTTCTGTTGTCCTTTAAAGCAGCTGTGACAAAATGATTGTTACAGATTAGATTTCAGGAGGTTGAAGTGGAGGGCTATGCCAAATTTAGTCTTAACTTTGGGAATTGTTGCTGTAAACATAATCTGACTCAGGAGTGTTAAAATTGCCATTCTCCCTCTTGTTAAAAGCTATTGCAACAGTTTGACATTTTTTATGAATTATTAATGGTATTAAAATATTTTCAGTGTTACTAAAAGTAAAAAGGTGAAGGAAATATGGAAATAGTCTATCTAGCAGAAGGTAAAAGCAGTATCATTTTGTCTTAGATAGTTACCATGATGCTGCTTGTGTGTGTACCAGAAGTTTAATTCTTATTTTACTAACATGATTTTTTATTTGTAAATGTTAAATCAACTTTATGATTTTAGGTAATATTTGCCATAAGATGTTATTTCTAATAGTTCTGTGTTTTGTTTTTGTGTTTTGTTGTTGTTTTTTTTTTAACAGTGCTCATACCCAGGAAGGATCTGCTGCAAGACAATACTCCTTACCTTGATAAACCAACAAAAAAGCGTGAATCCTGAGGAGAGTATGCCCTTCTCCCCAGTATGATAATATCTGGTTATAAGACGTGAAAAGCAGCAGTAGATACCTATCTTAACTGTTTTTCAAGTTTTAAATTTTATTATTATTGCCAAGAACATGGACTAAAACCAAACCACCAGTTTTACTGTTTATGATATCATCGTGGACTTCTGTTGTGGAAGATACTAATATTTCCACAGAAGCTTGAGACACACAGTTCCCTTAAAAAAAAAAAAAAGCATACATAACCATATATATATATGTGTGTGTGTGTGTGTTATGTATGTACTGCTGAATTGTGTTACTTCATCCAGGAAGTTTTTAATTATGATACTTATCAGACAGAGATTGTTTCCTAGCAATCCAGAGTTTTTGGAAACTAAATGCAAGTGAAATGCAGTTCTTAATCCTGATATTTATAAGTTTATCATCAATCATATACTGCTTTGAACTACTGAAAAACTATCTTGTGGAGCTTACCTTTAAGTTTATGCTTTGACCCAAAAGCATGATTTCTGAAGTTGTTGTTAACTGTACACTAAAACACTGTAATGTTTGAGACTTCTTAAGGTTGAATAAATTATTCTGGTGTTGCAGATGGGAAAGCGTGTGTAATGTTTTTCTTCTGGCTTGCACCTTTGAACAATCGGAGTTGGCAGGGTTTGAGTTTGTGGTTGACAGTAGAATAAGAGAATTTAACCATAACCTCACCTCAGGATATTGCTGTAGATATCAGGGTCTGTGAGTAATTTTGTTTTTGTTTATCTTGTGATTACAGTATTATAGTAACATAATGAGGCATTTTCCAAAGGCAAGTGTCTTGTTACTTAGTTGCAAGTGACCTGACTTGCCTAGACTGAATTTATGTTGTTTTACTAAGCCCTTATCAATTATTTTATTTATTTATTTATTTATTTAAGAAAACTCATTTGTTACTCACTGAACTCACCACAGAATTTCGTTCACTTCCATTTTACCTGGAGCCAGCCATACAGTGGTACACAGAATCTTCTGTTAAATCAGTAGCAGGTATTGCGTTAGGATGTAAGTGTAGTAACACGCAGGAAAGAGGTAGCCAAATACTAACATACTACACTATTTTAGATACAAATTAACTTACTTCATGAGTATCAAAGATGTCAGTATCTCATATATCTCCTGTATTTTCCAACATGGACTGTGTAAAACAAAAAAATAAAAAAAATAGTGCTTGAATCAAATCTTGCCCTCACATAGTGTGGCAACAGGGCAAGTTCTTCTTTTTTTGAAACTATTGCCTCCAGCTGCCATGTGCAGCATAGCCACCAGTAAATACATGTCAGTAACCCTCTTTCAACTGCACTGATGTTTTGTGCATCATAGCTAGAAGTTAGCACACAAACGATTGGAGATAGAATGAAATGCCTGCTGTTCTTTCTGTTTGCTGTGGTCTGGAGGCTGCAGTACAAAACAGATGTGTTGGTCTGTAGCAGATGTGCTGTTGTAAACTCTTGGTGTCACTTTCAAAAGGACAAGCTGTATTATACTTTGGTTTTCCATCCCTCTGGAACTTGCCTTTTTTACTTAAGGAGCTTAAGAGAGGAATAAGCAAGGGAGAAAGAATAGAAGGTAGTTACATCTGCAATTAGGAGACAAAACAGAACATTACCATATGCAAAGTGACTAGTTTTTAAGTAGAAATAATTTAGTTGTGTTTTGGCAAGAAGGACAAAATATCTAGCCATTAAGGTACAGATCCTGTGCCATACTGAAACTAGGAGACAATTCTTCTCTGGTAGAGCCATCCCTTTAGGGTAGAGAAACTGTGTATTAATGATGTTACCTTTCAGATTGATTTCATAAAACTGTGTGTTGGGAGGTCTTTATTCTTTTGATAATGATGTAAAATAGTATTGCCCATTACCATGCAAACTATGTACTGAAAAACTCAGTGATGCTAACAGTAGATGGCAGTGTTTTCGCGTGATGTTTGAAGAAACTGCAAGTGGAGAAGGGATTTGCATGTGACTACTACTTTGCTATTGCTGTGCTGTTATGTGTTTATTAGGTTTTAATCTTTCGTATGAATTGACACATGAACAGCAATGGAAATAGCAAATCTAGAATTCAACAGGCAGTTGTTTCATTTTGCCTACATCCTGAAAACTCAGCAAAAATACAGAATGTGTTACAAGAATAATGTACACAGCTGCTGAAAATAAAGAATATGATCAAAAAAGTTGACAGAAATCAATGGTCATAGGAACAATTTTCCTTACACTACTGTGTAGTATATTTATGGTTCTGGATATTAGCATTCCACGTTCCTGCTGTCCTGGATTCATTGGCAGCAGAGATGAACTGAATTTTCAAGTGCTGAGATGAAGAAAATTTAACTGATAGACAAAAGACTACTAAAGTAAAAGAGTGATGGTCCTATTAGTTGTTTGTGGATTAGCTGGTTTAAAGGCTGGTTTCGGGTCTATTCAAGGTAGCCACATGCTTAGTCAGAGTTTGACAGAAGAATTGTCACCTCAGTGATTGCATTTAAGAAAATTCAAAGCACTTCTGTTTTTGACATCATCTACAAGACGTCTGTTGCAGCCCTCAGCCCTGGCACTCTCCTTGTGAAATCTTTTTGTGTGCATTGCAGCTTTAAAGAAAGCATTAAATACAGCCAAGCAATTTCTCCTGTTTAAATACTACATTTTTTTCGTTGTTCTAACCACCTCTACTTCCACTTTATTTATTGTGGCTTCTTACCTTTTCTTTTTTTTCTTCAAAAAAAAACATAGTCTTTCAGCATACTCATAGTATGTTTGCTGCAGGCTGAGATTCACAAAACAGTGACAGATTTAATCTGTGAATTGATTTTGTTTGCATGATAGGATTTGAGTTGAAGTTTTTAAGGTCTTCAAGTGAAGGTGGTTGTGCTAATTTAGCAGTGCCAAATTAATCCTTTTCTCTGTGCACTTTGTTAAAGGAAGCATTTAGCTGCTATTTTTACAGGGACTGCTGTTGTATACCACAGCGTGACTCCACAAGAGTCGATCTAGAAGTAGCGTTAAGAGTTTAATCTGGAAAAGTGGCTTGTGCTTTCCCTACAGTGTTGAGTACTTGAGCAGTTTTTCAGGCAACATGAGATGAAAAAACCTACGACAACTTCAGTGACTAAATCTAGCATTAGCATTTTTTAGAGGTCGTGCTAGCTGAAGGTGCAGAATACTACACGGACAGCATCATCAGTCATGTTTGTATCATTCTGGACCTGTAAATAAAGTAATTGAGCTTCAAGTACTGGCAGTTCTTTACGCTTCCTTTACAAAAGGGGAAAAAAATATTGACAACTGCTAAAAATAAAGGCTGACCAACTTACAGGAAGATCTGAGTCCTAGTACTTCCCTGCCTTAGATAACTCTTTCCAAACTACTCACAACAATTTATCCTAACCTCTGGAATTCAATAGGCTGTCAAATCGTAGATTGTTAACTTTATTACTTACGGAAATTATTTATTTCACTCAAAGGACAAATTGCAACATGAATTCATTATTAAGGCTGGTATTTTACAGCTACAAAGGTCTGATATTTTGATAACTCTGGTAGAAATCCAGTGATCTTTGAAGGCAAGTGTATGTTGCCAGTATGGGGTACTTTAAACTTGTGACGTAAACATCCGGATCTTTTGAATTCTGTTGGAAGACTGCACTATTGAAGTGTTTATGAAAACTTTATTCACTCCTTTAAAAGCTGATGTTTCCTGTGACTTTGCATTTTCTTCAGCAACAGTAAATTCGGTGAGAGGAAAAGAGAGGAAGGGCATATCTTTATACTTCAGTAAATATCAGTAAGTTTAAATAATCTTTTCTTTCTATAATCCTTCAGCTTTCTATCTCACCTACCCAAAAGCATATGGCTTGAGTCCAGGACTAGTTAGGATTAAATAAACAGCCCCTGAAACTAAGGTCCGTAGAAGCTGGGAGGGGGATGGTGTTCCCTACATTAAGCCATAAAAAAAATGGAAACAGTTCTCCTGTTACATCTGCTACTGTAGTAGTTGCAGATGTAACTGTAACCTTCTCCCTGAGGTCAGTGGCTTTATGCAAAGGTTGATTCACCTGCCCCTGAATTACACTTACCAGATGAAAGACATCTCCGGAGCTGAGCATGAGAATTCTGTTGTTCTGCTGTCCTTGCAGTAGAGCCTTGGTAATGAAAAAGAGCAGAACGTGACCTGTGTAATACTCTGTACCTTTTCCAGACAGTATGTAAAGGAAAAAAAAAAAAATCAAAAGGTCATTACAACACTTCCTTTCTGTTCCAAGTGTGTATTTAGGATAAAAACCTTTGTTCTATTTGCTGTCCATGTGCAGATGAGACAGCGTTGATGTTCCTGTGAAGATTTTTATCTTTCCATTCATACATTTTCTGTTTGGAAAGGCTGCATTCTTGTTTTGTCCCACAAGTGGGGACAAATTACAATATGCAGAGGTACAGCCTGAAGTCAGTTTTTGGTGGGATTTTTGAGGAGTCAGCACAAACTCAGATCGTGGAAAAACAAGTGGTTTTAAAGAGAAGAAACAAGTTTGCACTTTTCACAGTTAGCTGTGTCTGACTATGTCACAACACAAAGAGTATGGCCTTCAGACTGTAATTCTTTTAGATGTGATTTCCAAGGCTAGAGGCAGCAGTTTGGCCGACATGGTATAGTGGAATTAAATAGATTTTAAGTATGTAAGGTAGGAGAAAATTCAACATGGAAACTTAATGTGGGACTAGCGCTGTATCAGTATGCTCTTAAAAAGAAAAAAGCTCTAGAAATTGATGTTCATTGCACTGTCTTTAATGCGTGTTTAGAGAAATCACAGAGAGAGTCTTCAGGCAGGCAGCACAATGTCAGGTACACTGCTCACTACTGTTTTGCT